GAACCCGCAGGCTCAGGCAATCCACTCACCTCAGCCTCCCAAAGGCGCGGGATTACAGGCTGAGACACCGAGCCCGGCTTCAAGTAATGTTTTCATGTGTAACGTTTTTCCACCACCCAGCTTATAAATTTCAGAATGATCAGCATAATATAATACCATTTACAAATTCTGGAGACAGAGCAGAAATACTTTGAGAACCAAGGGAACTGGTTAATTTTTAAAAATAATTATTATTTTCCATATTTAAGTAAATAGACATTTCAAGGAATTGGTGTGTCTTTAATATCTTTTATAAAGTGTTTTCTGCTGACACTGTGTCATTTTGTTTCTAGGTTGCTGCTAATACTCCAAGTATGTACTCTCAGGAACTATTCCAGCTTTCTCAGTATCTACAGGTAAAAGTAAATCTTGGCAGTTCTTTGTCTTTAAAAGTAGAATTAAACAACTTAGATTTTATTTTGCCAGTTCACAAATATAAGATTTAAAATGTTGACTGGATACAAGTATAAAATAAATACCTTTTCAAAGAAGACTGAAGGATTAAAAATAGATTTTATGAAGACGGCATAAAAGAGTCAAGTCTAGAGAAGATAAGCTTCCGTATAAGATACTTTTTTTTTTTTTTTTTTTTTGAGTTGGAGTCTCACTCGGTCGCCCAGACTGGAGTGCAGTGGCCGCTCCCGGCCACCGCAGCCTCGCCTGCTGGGCTCCGGCTATCCTTCCGCCTCAGCCTTCCGAGTAGCTGGAATTACAGGCATGCGCTACCACGCCTGGCTGATTTTTTGATTTATTGTAGAGGTGAGGTCTCGCTGCCCAGGCGGGTCTCGAACGCGCGGGCTCAGGCAATTCACTCACCTCAGCCTCCCAAAGGCGTGGGATTACAGGCTGAGCCACCAAGCCCGGCCCATTTTTTTTTTTTAAATATGAGAAGGTTCCAAAACAGTTATTTATCTATGACTTTTTCTTTTTTTTTGAGACAAGGTCTCACTCTGTCACCCAGGCTGGGTTGCACTAGTATAATCATAACTCAGTGTTATTTCAAACTCCCAGGCTCAAGTGATCCTCCTGCCTTAGCCTCCTCAGTCCCAGAGTAGCTTGGGCTATAGGCACATGCCACCATGCCCGGCTAATTTTTTAATTTTACATAAGGATGAAGTCTCACTATGTTGCCTGGGCCCAAGCGATCCTCCCGCCCCAGCCTTTCAGAGTGCTGGGATTACAGGTATGAGCCACTGCATCTGGCCCATAAATGACTTTTAAATAAAGGTCAACTTGTAGAGATTTTGGTTGCTTAATAATATTAACAGCAAGTAATTATCTACCACTTATTTTATGCCAAACTCCATTCTAGCTCTTTACCTATATTAATTTATTTAATTGTCATAGTAATCCTAAGGTACATATTTTATTCTCATTTTTATAGATGGAGTAAATGAGGGACAGAAGATTTAATAATTTATACAATATCAAACGTTTAGTATGTAGTAGAGCTGAGAATTGAACCCTAACAGCCAGACCTCAGATTCTCTGCTCTTAACCACTGTGCTGAGCTGCTGGATTCATAGAAAAATTTCTTAATAGAGAAAATAGTAGGAATAGGCTCCTGAAGAAGGTAACAGGGCCATACAAATTGTTACAAAGCAAAAAAAAAAGACCAGGTGCCCTGGAACAGGCCTGTAATCCCAGTAATTTGGGAGGCCAAGGTGAGGGAATTACTTGAGCTCAGAAGTTCAAGACCATCTTGGACAACATGGCAAGACTTCATCTCCACAGTAAAAGCTGAGCGTATTGGCTTGTCTCTGTATTCCCAGCTACTTGGAAGGTTGAGGCAGAAGGATTACCTAAGTCCAGGAGGTTGAGGCTGCAATAGCCATGATCATGCTACTGTATTCCAATCTGGGTGACAGAGTGAGACTCTGACTCGGAAAAAAATAGATAAATAACAAAAAACAAAATCTTGTTTGCTTTTTCTATAAAAACCAGTGTTCTTTTTTTAATTATTTGGGTTAGACTGGTTCCTGTTACTCTGGTGAGGAAGTATGGTTAAGGAAGACCTGGATCAAGAGTTTAAAAATTGAAGTCTTTATTTTGCTTCTGCTGAATTAGTGCTGAACCTTGGATGAATCATTTTATACGTGCAGGCCCTCAGTTGTCTTTTGTTTTGAAAGACAAAAGAAAACCCATGATCCAGGATCTCTACGTTCTTTTGCAGGAATCAATCAGGGAGAGTAGTTCCACCTCAGTTAAGAATGTATAGATATGTGAAAATCAGCAGAAAATTATCAGTGTATTATTGGATCTTATCTTCCACTAGGTATAACGTATGCATAGAAAAACAGTTTTGCGCATTTGCACTTCAGTAGAGTATTTAAAAGCATGGACTATAGCAAGAATTCCCTTGATTTGATCCCTCACTTTACCTTCTGACTTGCTGGGAGAGTTGTTTAACACTTTTGTGACTATTTTCCTCATCTATGAAACATATATAGTAATGGCACTTACAGAATTGTGAAGAATAAAGTAATTAGTATATGTAAGGCACTTAGAACAGTGCCTGGCACATAGAGTATATGCCATAAATGTTGGTAGTCATTTGCCATTCAATGGGAAGTCATATTCGTTGACCTAAGTCTCTCTTATCCTTAGAGGTAGAAGAAAACTTTGAAATTAAGTTGGTCTAGACATCATTTTTCATATGAGAAATATGAAACTCACATAGATTAAATCATTTATCTAAGAGTGTATACTGCTGTTATAGTCATCATTGACAGTGAATCTTACCCTCTCTCTCACTCTTTCCAACTTTCTTGTCAGTTCTTTGAATGTTCCTAGTAGTCCTAATCATTTCATGTTCTTTTTCTAACTCTGAGAGAAAATTATACAGAAGTCTTTTCTGTATACATCCTCATTGAATTGCTAAAGTTCTAAAGGAAATTGTGAACCTTTTGCCTAAAAACTGGAATTGATGCATGTCATGTCTTAAAATTAAAAGACCATTCCTGGAAGTATTAGGTTTCTGTTAGGTTGCAGTTCGTGGAGTTAAGAAACTCTAAATATAATTGAGATAAAAAGGTGAAATTACACCATCTAGTGGAAGTAGGTTCTAAAGCTGTGGTTGGTTGGTGCTTTTGTTATTAAAGCTTTTTGTTGCATCTGCATAATTTTCTAAATATTAGGAATGTTATAAGAACTTAAAATAAACTAAGTATAGCCAGTGTTTCAATATGGATTTTTTTTTTTTTTTTGAGTGGGCGTCTGTCATCCAGGCTGGAGAGCAGTGGCATGCTCCCAGCCAACGCAGCCTCAACCTGCTGGGCTCAGGCGATCCTTCCACCTCTGCCTTCCAAGTAGGTGGAACTACAGGCACACGCCACCATGTCCGGCTAATTTTTTTGATTTACTGTAGAGATGAGGTCTTGCCAAGTTGCCCAGGTTGGTCTCAATCCTCTCATCTCGGCCTCCCAAAGTGCTAGGATTATAGGCATGAACCACGCGCCCGGCCTATTATGGATTTTGAGGTGGTATGGCTTTTATTAGATTATTTCATGTGTTATATTAAAATATAGTGCCTTTAAATCTAGTTAGACCAGATTTTCCCTAATCATTGTTTATCAAAGATGTAGAGAGCAATAAATTCATGCCATAAACCTCAGGTACTATGTTTGAAGCATATACTTCTCTGTTGAGGTGTCTCAGATGTATTAGAATAGTAAGTGTTCCCTGGATAATGCCAGGAATAGAACAAGGTGAAGAAGGTGTGCCAAAACCACAGCTAAATGCTGTGAGCATTTCACCTTGATCCCCAGTGAAGGAGAACCTCTTAACAGCTATCAAATGTTAACAAGTTACCTAGAGTTCAGGCTTTGCACACCAATGTCTATTTCTATAAAATATTCCTTCAGAGCTGCTAGATCATTATATATCTCCTTTATTATAAAGTTATATTGGACCAGTAATTTGATGAACTCTTACCTATTGTTGGCATATTAATTGCTGTTAAGTGTTATACAATCAAGGAAAGAATCAGAGCACTTGAAAATGCAATAGGCTTTGAGTGAAGTGTTCATTCTTTATATATATTTATATATATATATATATTTCTATAAATAGCTTCTTTTTTTTTTTTTTTTTTTTTTGAGTTGGAGTCTCACTCTGTCACACAGACTGGAGTGCAGTGGCCACTCCCGGCCATCGCAGCCTCGATTTGCTGGGCTCCGGTGATCCTTCCGCCTCAGCCTTCCAAGTAGCTGGAACTACAGGCGCGCGCTACCACCCCCGGCTAATTTTTTTTGGATTTATTGTAGAGATGAGGTCTCACCAAGTTGCCCAGGCGGGTCACGAACCCGCGGGCTCAGGCAATCCACTCACCTCAGCCTCCCAAAGGCACGGGATTACAGGCTGAGCCACCAAGCCCGGCATAAATAGCTCTTTTTTTCCGAGTCGGAGTTTCATTCTGTCACCCAGGCTGGAGTGTAGTGATACGTTCACTGCCACCGCAGCCTCGACCTGCTGGGCTCAGGCAATCCTTCCACCTCTGCCTTCCAAGTAGCTAGAACTACAGGAACGCACCACCACACCCAGCTAATTTTTTGATTTATTGTAGAGATATGGTTTTGCCAAGTTGCCTGAGTTAGTCTCGAACCCCTGGGCTCAGGTAATCCTCTCACCTCGGCCTTCTAAAGTGCTGGGATGATAGGCGTGACACCGCACCTCGCCTAAATAACATTTTTAAAGGAAAAATTAAAAGCTATTTATATTGTAGATGTCATCCTTGTGCAATTAAAACCCTTATGAAGTATCATTGCTGCTGACCAGATTATTTGGGCTTCAGTTAGAATGAGTTTGTTCTAAGAGATATACAAAGGGTGCCCAAAAAATGCAGACATTTTTTAAAGGGAAAAAACTTTTAAAATTGTAATACTCAATATATATCAATAACAAAAGATGAATACAAGTCATGTTTGACCTTTGCAATTACAAGAGGGGCTCAAAGTGGTTACCCTCAGTGTCCAGATACTTCTGATTATGGCATACTACTGCAGGGCTTGTTGCTGTGCGAGGCCTCCCAGATCTTCCCTTGTGCACATCACACACAGTAGTACCATGTGTCTCAGACTTATCACAGATGCTTGCAATTGTTAGCCGTGTTGGAGGTTCTATTGTATACTCCCGCCTCCGTTGTCATTGTACTTCCATATTCTCGAATTTCAAATACTACTTCAAAATGACCTTGTGCTCCTCGAATGACAATTGTGCTTCTACCTTTTCTTTTACTGTTCTGCCTGCTGCATGGTGATGCTAAGTATTCATTTGATTAATGCCATCTTTTGAGCGAATATTGTATTACACATTGCTACTGTAATTCAATTCAACTTAGAAAAATAATACATAGATAACATCGCTTAAAATGTGTACAGATTTTTTTGGCACTCCTGGTATATTCAGGTCCAGGACATTACTGTCCACTATTATAGACTTTATAAACACTATACACCTAGACTACACTCAATTTATTAAAAGTTTATTTTAAAAGTTTTTCTTTCTTCAGTAATAAATTAGCCTTAGCTTACTGTAACTTTTTTGTTGTTGTTTTTTTTTGGAGTTGGAGTCTCACTTTGTTGCCCTTGCTGGAGTGCAGTGACATGATCCCAGCTCACCACAGCCTCAATCTCCTGGGCTCAAGTGATCCTCTCACCTCCGCCTTCCCAATAACTGGGACTACAGGCATGTGCCACCATGCTTGGCTAATTTAGAAAACATTTTTTTTGTAGATACAAGCTCTCGCTATGTTACCCAGGCTGATCTCAAACTCCTGGATGCAAGCAGTTCTCCCACCTCGGCCTCCCAAAGGGCTGAGATTACAATCATGAGCCCCCTCACCCACCAACTTTTTTTTTTTTTTTGAGTTGGAGTCTCACTCTGTCACCCAGACTAGAGTGCAGTGGCCGCTTTTGGCCACCGCAGCCTCAACCTGCTGGGCTCCGGCGATCCTTCCACCTCAGCCTTCCAAGTAGCTGGAACTACAGGCGCGTGCTACCGTGCCCGGCTCATTTTGATTTATTGTAGAGATGAGGTCTTGCCAAGTTGCCCAGGCGGGTCTCGAACCCATGGGCTCAGGCAATTTACTCACCTCAGCCTCCCAAAGGCGCGGGATTACAGGCTGAGCCACCAAGCCCAACAACTTTTTTTTTTTAAGTAAGTAGAAGGAGTACACTCTAAAATAACAACAAAAAATATATTATAGTAGCCAGTAACATAGTTGTTTATTGTTAACAAGTATTATATACTGTACATAATTGTATGTGCTATACTCTTATACAACTGGCGGTATAGTAGGTTTGTTGACACCAGCACCTCCACAAACACACAAATAATGCCTTGTTCTACAATGTTAGGATGGCTGTGAAATCACTAAGTGATAGAAATTCAACTCTATTATTATCTTATAGGGCCACTATTATATATGCAGTTTATAGTTGACTAAAACATCATCATGTGGTGAATGATTATGTGTGTGGAGATACAGATACATGTGTGTGTGTGCATATAAAATGCAAGCCTGAAACATTTATTAACTTTTTCTAGTCTAGGTTTTTAAACACTCACTCTTCTAAATTATGAGTAAAAAGAAGAAAAACAGGTGTCTTGTTTTCTGTTATGGGGGAAGTTGTAGCTAGGGCACCTCTAATAGCAGTACTTTCAACCCAACAAATGAGGGTAAAATGCTGTGGCCTATATATATAGTAATTGCCCCTTATCTGCATGGGATACATTCCAAGACCTCTAGCAGTGGATGCCTGAAACTGCAGATAATACCAAATCCTATTTGTACTCTGTTTTTTCCAATATATAAAGTTTAACTTGTAATTTAGGCACAGCAAGAGATTAGCAACAAGTCATAAAATAGAACAATTGTGATAATATACTGTTATGTGAATAAAAGTTATGTGAATGTGGACTTTCTCTCTTTTTGTCTCTCATACAAAATCTTATTGTACTGAAACCATGGAAAGGAAAACTAGAGATTGGGCATGGTGGCTCAAGCTTGTAATCCAAGCACTTTGGGAGACCAGGGCAGGAGGATTGCTTGAGCCCAGGAAACTGACCAGCATGGGCAGCATAGTGAGATTTTTTTTTTGTCTCCACAAAATATTTTTAAAAAATTAGCCTGGCATGGTGGTGTGTACCTGTAGTCCCAGCTACTCAGGAGACTGAGGCAGAAGGATCGCTTGAGCCTGTGAGTTTGAGGCTGAAGTAAGCTATGATCATGCCACTGCACTCCAGCCTAGGTGATGGAGTGAGACCTTGACTCAAAAAAAAAAAAAGAAAAAGAAAAAAAAAGGAAAACTAGAGATAAGGGGGGACTACTGTATATTTTACAAAGTATTATCAAGTTTGAAATATATCAAGTGAGATATAGTATGAGAATATTTTCGAATGTGCTAAAAATTTGTCACGCCTCAAAAGAATCATGCTGAGTTTATTAGAATTTCTTTTGTGATTTATAATGTTAGGAGGCCTTACATCGGGAACAGATGTTGGAACAGAAATTAGCCACGCTTCAGCGGCTACTAGCAATCACCCAAGAGGCTTCAGATACCAGTTGGCAGGTATTTCATTTACTTTCATATTCAAGAAATTTTAACATCGTTTAATATTCCATACATGTGAAATGATTAAAACTAAAATTTGGTAGCAATCAAAGGCAAAATTATTTTCTAATGGACAATCATTAAAACTTTACCATTTTACAGTGTTAAATTGGTCAGTTTTATGATTTTATATCTTTTGTTGTCAATAGCAACCTTTTTGATATACATGTTTTTCAATTACTCTGGAGTTTTATTTATATTTAATTTTTCTTCAACAGGCTTTAATAGATGAAGATAGACTCTTATCACGATTAGAAGTTATGGGAAACCAATTACAGGCATGCTCCAAAGTGGGTATTAATCTCAAATATGTAAAATAAAATGCGTAGTTTTTAATGTAACTTTATTTCTTCACTTTCGTCTTGGGTGTATGCTAAAACTTTATGCATTTTCACAGTTCTTTTAAATCTTTTGTTATGAGAAATTTCAGACATTCATGTAAGTAGAAAGAATCATATTATGAATACTCATGTACAACTCTCTTTCTTTGTTATATTGCTGTTGATATTGGCTAAAGAAACTGGGTTATTTGCCCTCTAGAATTTCCCTCAATCTGCATTATTTTTTAAACATTCTTCTAGCTCCCCCTCCTACCTCATAAGTTAGTAGTTTGATCAAAAGATTTTATCTGAATTAGGTTCATTTTTTTTTCCCAACAACATTTTATGAATGGTATTGTGTTATTTCACCAGGGGCAGCATCTAGCTTTTCTTTTCAAGATCTTATCTGTCATTGATCATCTTTGCCTGAATTTACTATTTTGTTAAGGGCTACAAAAATAGTGATGTAATTATATTATTCTCTTTGTTTATTTATCTGAATTACTATTATAAAGAGAAGTTTTCCCATATCAACCATTTGTTTACTCTGAGGGACATTTTCTACAGGAAAAGCAAGATGAGTGATTTTTCTCCTTATTTTCTGGATTTCAAAATAATGAATTGATTCCTTTGCATCCAACAAGGAATGACTATGAAGTGTTTTCTCTTCTCCCACTTAGATTTAAACATATTTGATGTTTTAAAATCTATTGCTGTTGTTTTCTTATTGATGCTTAAATTATTCCATCTTTGATCTATTTACATCTCTTCAGGCTGGCTCCTGAGTCCTTTTGATAAAACCCTAGCAGACTTTGATAACTTCCTTCTATCATTCTGGACAAGATATTCCAGGCTCATCTTGTATATTTCCTGCCCCAAACATGGAGTCTGCTTTTCCCCATTGCGCTCTTATCCCTTTTGATTTAACCATTATTTTAAAATGCATGGTGCCTTTGAAGGTAATTGATTATTTTTGCCCACAGATGTAAATATGGTGGCTTGCAGAAAATATGACTAATATAAGAATAATTTTATATATTTGAGATAAATTCTCAATTGCCTCAGACTTTTTTTGTATTGGAAGTAGAAATGAATACATTTGTGAAGGCATAATTTACTGATGCAGCTTTTAAATACAGCTTTAGATGGTACATTGCCAGCATCATTTGTGTTTGGAGGTTCCTTCATATAGAATTTAAAGAGTATCATAATGTGTTTTTCAAATAGTAAATGCTTTAAAAAATTTGCTATATTTTAAATATCTTTTATTCTAGAATCAAACAGAAGATAGTTTACGGAAAGAACTTATAGCATTACAAGAAGATAAACATAACTATGAGACAACAGCCAAAGAGTCCCTGAGACGGGTTCTTCAGGAGAAAATTGAAGTGGTTAGAAAACTTTCTGAAGTTGAGGTATTTCCATTTAAAAAACACTAAATTATAGTGTGATTTTTTTTTTTTAAGATTTGAACATTCCAGGATACTTTAAATTTGAGTATTATTATATAGCTAGGAAATACTTTGTGTCTGCCAAGTGGAAAGGGACAGTTATGCTGCTTTCATTGACAGGAATTCTCAGCATAACCATGTGAGTTCTGGTGCTTATGTTCTCTCGTCAGTGACTGAGGAAATAAAAGCCTACCCAGGGATTCTTACTGTTTGCACTCTGCTTAAGATTCAGCATCCACACAGTGGACCATGAATGTACCAGGGAATTGATTTCTTGTCACTTGGTTTTGCTTGGCTTCTAGTTGAGGATGGTCAGTGTAAGGCCAAGAACCCACACCACATGTTACTTTTATCCATCCTCCAGAGAGAAAAACTAACTTAAGTCTTATGCTTTTGAAGTTCAAAAGGGAAAATATCTCAAAGTCCTTTCTAGATCTTTTGGGAACAATAAAAATGCAATTCTCATTACTTAAAAAAAAAAAAAACGAATTTATAATACAGGTATTTTTTGAACCACTGTGAAATTATCATAGGCATTATGTAACACTGAATTTGGTTAAAATGCCCTATAAACTAAATAGTAAGCATACCCTTTCTACAGGTGTAGTTTCTATAACAGCCTCTTCCCATAGTGCCTGATTCACTGTCATGTGATTCATTTGACATGTAAGGACAGAAAGTTGCCAGCTGCTTCTAATTTTCTTATTAAATTAATTGCTGTATATTATTAAACTTGCTTTCAAGAATTGATAGGATTAAAATCTTTGTGAGGTTCAAAGTCATGCTCATTGTCCTTTTAAATTTTAAGTATATAAAGGTAGATCCTCCTCCTGCCCCTCCCTTACTTTTTTTTTTCCAGATTCTTTGTTGTGTTTTCTGTTTTAGCATATACCTGAAGTAAACTGGAATTCTTATGTTATTTAACTCAGCTTTATATAAAGTCCAGGGCAGATACTGAATTAGAATAGCCCATCATTGTACTTTTTATGAATTGAGAAGGAATTCTAAATAACAAATGCACATTTATTCTAAATAAAAATTGCCTATATACTTGAATTGCAGCGAAGTCTGAGTAATACTGAAGATGAATGTACCCACCTGAAAGAAATGAATGAACGGACTCAGGAAGAATTAAGAGAATTAGCTAATAAATATAATGGAGCTGTTAATGAAATTAAAGATTTATCTGATAAATTGAAGGTATGTATTTACTCAGTTTGAAACTATGTTAGTCGGGCAATCCCCTCGGGTCCCCTCCCACTGTGGGAGCTTTTCTGTCCTCTTAATAAATTCTGCTTCCTCAAAAAAACAAAAGAAAGAAAGAAAGAAAGAATATTAGTCTACCGCCATTACTGCCATACCACCCTGAATGCACCAATCTTGTCTGAAAGTATGTTAAGCAAATCTTCCCTAACACACTATATAGCTTAAGAATTTAAGTATTGCTGAATAGTTGTAGATATAAAATTTGATTATGGTTGAAATTTATAGTAGAAATTAGGTGCTTATATTTCATTTAGCCCAATCTTTATTACCACAGATAATTGAAAGCCTATAAAAACTGACACAGTTCCTCTGGTTGAATATGCAGTCAGTGTTTCACAACAGACATCTTTTAATAAATAATGGAGATAGATGAGAATCAACAAATTTTTTTTTTAATGAGTTGGAGTCTCTCTCTGTCTCTCAGGCTAGAGTGCGATGGCACACTCATGGCTATCGCAGCCTTGACCTACTGGGCTCAGAAGTCCTTTTGACTCAGCCTTCCAAGTAGCTGGAGCTACAGACATGTAACCACACCTGGCTAATCAGATTTTTTAAAAATCTGAAACAGTTTATCTTCAGGCTATCCCAAAGGCAGAACCCAGCTATTTAGTACTGGAACACGTCCAGAGGGAATCTTGGAATGATCTGCTTGACACCTTATAGCTTTCAGAGATGCTGTTAACTCTACTTCAGTTGTCATTCTCTCTATCTATGGGACATTTAAAATAAGGATATATCAAACCATAGGGTAGTGTCTAGTTGGTCCTTTAAAATATATATATATTTAGCCAGGCTTGGTGGCTCGGCCTGTAATCCCACGCCGTTGGGAGGCTGAGGTGAGCGGATTGCCTGAGCCCGCGGATTCGAGACCCGCCTAGGCAGTGAGACCTCATCTCTACAATAAATAAAAAAATCAGCCAGGCGTGGTAGCGCATGCCTGTAATTCTGGCTACTTGGAAGGCTGAGGCGGAAGGATCGCCGGAGCCCAGCAGGTCGAGGCTGTGGTGGCCGGGAGCGGCCACTGCACTCCAGTCTGGGCGACAGAGTGAGACTCCAACTTAAAAAATAAATATATATATATATATATATATATTTTTTTTTTTTTAAAGAGACAGGGTCTCTGTCTGCTGTGATGTAGTCATAGTTCACTGCAGCCTTGGACTCCAGCCTCCTGGGTAGCTAGGACTACAAGTGCCCGCCACCATACCCAGCTAATTATTTTTTTGTAGAGAATGGGATCTCACTTTGTTGTGCAGGCTGATCTCGAATTCCTGGCCTCAGGCAATGTTCCCGCCTTGGCCTCCCAAAGTGCTAGGATTAAAAGTATGACCCTCTGCTGCTGGCCAATCCTTTAAACTCTTACAGCTGAGTTTCTGAAAATCCATCTTGATGTAGTTCAAATTATGGGTTGAGTGCCGGGAAGGTACACATTTGTTACAGAAGACCAGAGCATACCTCTCCTTGCTATGGTTGGTTAACCTGTGATAATTTTAAAGATTAGTCTTGTTGAAAGGAGGTTGTCTTCATGTATTGTCTTAGTACATCTGTTAGTATAAAGGAATACCTGAAGTTGGGTAATATATAAGGAAAAGAGGTTTATTTGACTTACTGTTCTGCAGGCTGTTCAAGAAGGATGGCATCATCTGCTTCTGGTGAAACTTAAGGCTGCTTCCACTTATGGTGGAAGGCAAAGTGGAGCTGACATGTGGAGAGAGATCACATGGCGAGAAAGGAAGCAAGGAGTGGGGAAGTGACAGGCTCTTTTTTTTTGTAGGAACTAATAGAGCGAGAATTCGCTAATTATCCTGAGGACAGCACCAAACCATTCATGAGGGGTCTGACCACATTACCGAAACCCCTCCCATTAGGTCCCACCTCCAACATTAGGGTTCAAATTTCAACATAATGTTTTGAGGGGACAAACATCCAAACTATAACAGGTCTTTTTGAATAGTACTTATACCATCATCCATTTAGCTGTGTAAACAATTTTGTTTAAACTTTCAGAATAAGTTAAATTTTAGAAGTTACGAACAAATTGAAATAATAGTAACTTTAGGGAAAAATCTTACTTCTTTCTTTAAAAATGCAGAGGTTTTCACTTTTGCCCTTTATGTGTATTGAACCTGCTTTGCTTGCTCCAAGTTTTTCTCGCCTAAGTGTTACAAAGGAGTAACCCCAACGCAAATCACTTTTTACTTCAGACCTTTGTCTTTGTCTTCTTTGCTTATTATTTTATTTTTTTAATTTTAATCAATTTTTTAAATGATATTGTGGGGTACAGTTAAGGGTTAGGTATACAAATATGCTCCGTTCAGGAACCCTTGTTGATAAGAGGTGTCTCCTCATCCCCAGACAGATATTTACTACTGTTAATCCCATCTCCCTTCCCCTCCCCC